GGAGGTTGACACCAGTGACACATTGAATGAGCATGGTAGTCACATATAAAGCAGCGCTGTGCTAGAGAGATAAAGCCTGCGCTACTTGTAGAGCTAAGGGACTTCTTTTCGATGTGGTCCAACAGCAATGATGCTTTTTTAGATATTCAGTAGCGAATTTGAAGGGCAGCAGCTACGTCTTGAGCGCTTTTCGTGGACGTTCGCTGTCCACTCGAACTCACTCCAGTGCGTTTCTCTGAATGATGAATTCATTAAAACGTTGACATGTTTTGTCTGTGACTTGTACAGCTCCTTTGCCGGTTCAAGTTGACAGTACTGTTTAGCAATGTAAACAGCAAATATTGTGAAAGGAAAATAGTTTAAAAATAGCAAACGGAAAAGATTTTTTTTGAATTTGACAAGAAATTGTAAGCATCGCGGCCATCTGCTCGAGGATATACGTGCAGTTATCGTCGATTTACTCTTCTAGGGTCTCGGGTGTGCACTCAGTGCAGGAGATGCGTGGACCACCGCGTGGCAGAGGCTTCACCCGCCATGTGGCTATGATTCGGCGGGCGCTCTACTCGGGAATCCCGTTGTGCTCTGCAACCAACTGCCAGCTCTCCCCTCGCGGAATGTATCACGAAATTAGGTTTTGGCGGCAGCAGAGTGGGTTCAGCAGCGACAACAATAGTCAGTCAGGAATAACACCACTGACCGTAGCTAAAATGCTAAGCCAACGACGGTGAAGTCCGCCCTAACTTGAATATTATCCTCCATATAAACCCTTTGCGACAAGAATATCCGCCATGATGATTGATTGATCAATAAAGCTAATATTAAAATATAAATCAAGCCAAAAAACATATACTGTATTAGTAAAACGTCATTGTTTAACACTTCGACAGTTGGATACACTGGAATATCTTTCTGGAAGGTCTTCATAATGACCTCATCGGCTCATGTTTCAATAGTCCGCATAATTGTCGCTAGCTTCTTCTTCGCTGTCAAGTTTCATTGGGTTGCTTGGTCCGTTTCCATTTTCCACTTTTGTCTCCATCCTCGCTTGCCACAGTTCCTCGCTTGTTTGGATCGCCATTTTTGTCAGCCCTGCTTGACGTTAAAGAAATGCACTCGTCATCACTAGAACACATGCATTCCGCCTAGCACACGCACTCCTCCCTACATATACACACCTCCAACGGGTCACAACCTTTTAGGGCAGCCATCGCCCTTGAGGGGGGGGGGTTGCATCTGCCGAGTCCGTTGGCTCCAAGTACTTGTCTGGCACGAGCGCCGTGCTCCTTCCAGCAACTTTATCTTTCTTCTTCACATCAACATCGGCTAGCCGCTTGGGTATGTATATGGTATTCGAAGTTGTCAAGCCGTATGACGGACGGTGCATCGACTTCGTACCGGGACAGCTCCAGCCCGTAACAATGCCCAAACCGTCGCATCCATTCACCCGTTCTCCTGAACGGTGAAAGCGCGCCCGGTGGGTACGTCAGTATTTTCTTGATACCGAGCTCTAAAAGAGCAGAATCGCAAGCGTTTAGCCTAGAAACAAAGTTAGCAATAAAAACCTTGAGCAAGTTTATATGGAAAACATTAAAGTATTTACCGTCAGCGCGAGCGTTAATGACTGACGTCAAGCGATCTGAACGCTTATGTGCTTGTTTAGCTTGTCAGAGACTTTACGCCCTTTTAAAGCCCATATATTGTGCGGTGGTATATCCTAATGTATTACAGCTTCGTCAACATTATAGATCACACTAGGTGGAAGCGATTCGCCATAAAACTTCACCGCAAATTGCCACTGAGCTTCACGCATATCTTCCTTACTGTTCTCCCGAAGCCGTCCTGAGTGATGGTCGCCCCTCGGTTGCTCCAACAACGCTTAGCTGCAGGGATTGAAAGTCCAGCTAAACAAAAAATGAGTGCTACTGCTTGCTTTTGACGGCGCAAGTTGTCGAGTGTGCAGCAGCACCCCCCGTAATATATTCGAGGGATTAGCAGTAGGATGGGGCTAGCGGCTCGTCAGCCAATGGTCCGTCGAAGTCCGGGAGGCACCTGAGTCTTAAGTTGGAGCTGGACGCAGTCCTGGCTCTTCCTTCACACTTGACACTCCCACTTGATCTTGTCGAAGCGCAGCTTCAACATGATCACCTTTCAGAGCTCACCACGATGTGCTTGGCATCTTCTAGCTGCGCTGCAGCTTGACGCTTCGTGTTTCGTAGCGCTCTTCCTCCTTCTTGTCCTTCGCATGCATGAACTGGTAGTAGTAGCTTGCATTCACGCATGGCGATGATGTTTGGCTCCCACTGAAACGAGCTGAGCCTTGCTGACGGTCGATGCGCCGCAACCTTCATACCATCACGGCCATGTTCGAACGTTTTCTTCGGTAACGGCTTCGTCATTGCGTCGGCGATCATGCCGTCGGTGCCAACATGGCCGAATCCGCAGCTGCTCGTACTCCACGAGGTGGCGCATCAAGGGGAACTTGTTCATAATGTGCTTGTTATTGCTGTGCTTCCAGGCTTGGCAGTCAGATAGATGCACGACTTGTTATCGCCGATAATCTCCGGAGTCGCGAACTCCCAGCATAGTTCTTCACAGAGTCCACGTAGCCACTGTAGATCTCTAGTACCTTCATTCATGGCAATATACTTTGCTTTCGTTGTGCTCTGTGCGTTGATCTCTCGCTTTCTCGATCCGTACGAAACCACGTTACCATTGACGAACGTCACGAACCCGCTAACACTCTTTCGGTCATCAGGGTCATTAGCATAGTCAGCATCGGTGTAACACGTCAGTTTGAAGTCGTTCCCATTAACAATGTCCATCACTAAGCCGTGGTCTTGAGCATCACTCAGGTAGCGTAGCACCCTCTTTCCCATAGCGTAGTGTGTGTGGTCGAAGCAGGACAGGTACTTGTTGAGATTACGCACAGCGTGCGCAATGTCCGGCCTTGAGGCTGAGACCAGATATTGTAGTGCACCAACGAGCTCTCGGTACGGGGGCGGGGAGTCACCTTTCGCATCTGTGACCACCTCAGCGCGCAGCGCTTCCGGTGTTGCAACCGCGTTGCACCCCTCCATGTGAAATCGCTTTAGCACCTCCGTAATATGTTGCCGCTGGCAAAATACCGCATGTCGACGCTCGCTGTCGATCAGTATCTCCACGCCTAGTAGATACTTGACTGGTCCGAGAGATGTGAGTTCATACTCCTCACTGAGTTGCATAGCAACCTTAGCGCAAAGGTCATTAGGGCCGAGGAGCAGTAGGTCGTCGACGTACACCGTGAGCAACATGGTGACTTCTCCTCCCACTTTCCTGGCGTAGAGTCCGTAGTCAGAGTCGAGGCGCTCGAGTCCAATCTTCGTCAGGAACTTGTGCAATGTCTTGTTCCAAACCCGAGGCGCTTGCTCAAATTAAAATTATGCATAATAAAAAAAAATATTAAACAATATTTTTTTTATTATTTTTTTTTATTTAGTAATAAAATTATTAGTAAAATCGATAGCTAAAGTATTTAATTTTTTATCTAATTCTTTTGAAATTTCTTTTTTTGTTAAAATTTCTTCTAAAATATCAGAATGATTATTTTGAATAGAGTTTAACCAATTAGTTTCAAAAATCGAAATTTTATCTACAGCAATTTTATCTAAGAAACCTCGTACACCTAAATAAATAATTACAATTTGATCTTCAACAGATAAAGGTATATTTAAACCTTGTTTTAACATTTCTGTTAATCTAACCCCTCTATTTAATTGTTGTTGAGTAGTTGCATCTAAATCAGAACCAAATTGCGCGAAAGCTTGGACTTCTCTAAATTGTGCTAATTCTAATTTCATAGTACCTGCTATTTGTTTCATAGCTTTAATTTGAGCTGCGGAACCTACACGACCTTTTGGTTATCTTGGGGGCGCTGGCATGGCATCGGGGGACCCTGCTGACAATGCTCAGGCTTGGGATTCATAAAGGGTTCGACATGTTTCCGCAGCGAAACTGGGCTCAC